TGATCCAGACTTGTTTTTGTAGTTCTTACTACTTCAACCAAACTCCACAATATTAGCTTTAGCCATACCAGGATTGAACAATTTCTTTTCAGAGCTCTTGTTATCTTCTTCAATTCGGAATCTAACAATTAGTTTTTTGACGTTCATTTCCTTTCGCTTGTGCTTCAAATAATTTTTGAAATCTTTCCATGCGGGGGACAATTTTTCAATAATTGCAGCTATTTGAAAAGTTTCACTCAAAATCATTCATTTGGCATGAATTTCGTAAAGGATCACTTGGAGTTCTTGCACTTGACTGATAACTGTTTTGGAGTCCACCATTTTGTAATCTAAGAATCTGCTAACCATGAACTTTTTAGCCCTGACATCCTCAGTTTTATATTTTCGGTCCAAAGACTCTCACAATTCCTTAGCAGTTTTCATAGTACTATACACATTGTATAGCGTGTCTGCTAAGCTGTTCATAATATAGTTTCGACACAGAAAATTCGAATGGTTCCAACCATCAAGTGCACTAATGGCTTGAACAATTCCCTCACCCTCATTGAGTTTTGGAGCTGTCTCAGTCAAGAATCTAGCAAGATTCAAAGTGGTCAGATAAAATAATATTTTCTGCTGCCACCTTTTTGAAATTCAAGCCATTGAATTTCTCCGATTTTTCTCCATGATTAACTGGAACACTAACGGTATGACCAGTTGTTGGAGCCACAGTTTGACCCACAACATGACTTGACAATCTAGCCACAATCTGAGCTACAACAGAGCTTGGCCCTTGAGCCACAGCTAAGTCCATAGCCTGATTTTCATTAGGCACAGTTTGGGTCACATCCATGTTAGTCAATTTGATTGCCATTTCTGAAAGTAAAAAAAAAAAAAATTAGTTTCTAAAATTAACGGTATAAGAAACCAATTTTTTCCTTTACTAATCTGTTTTAAATTTGTTGGAATATAGTGGTGTTAATGAAATCGAATTATCACATACCGTATGTGTAGTTTAAACACTAATTTTAAGCATACCGTATATGCATATATTGTATATGGCACTTATCGTATTTACAGGTAACTTACAGTATATGCAGCTTACCGTATTTGCAGTCTACCGTATTTACAGGCAACTTACTGTATTTGCAGCTTACTATATATAATGTCTACCGTATTTGCAGAAAGCTCACTGTATTTGACAGCGAAACTCACCATATTTGCACAGAATTTGTATAAAGTGTTTTTATTCATACACTAGCTAAAATAACACAAATTTTTCATTTACAAATAGAAATACCGTATATGTGAAATCTATTTTCACACATATAACGAATTAAAAAAGTATTTTATTTTATTTATCTATTTCTAACATAAATTTAACAAATAATATACAAGAATAAAATGCAAACTAAATAAATAGCAGATAAATTTTCAACCCGAGGCCTATGCGAACACAATTTCCTTAAAATAGATTCACCCACTCACCGTAAGTGCTTGAAATTTAATATGAGTGTCTATTTCCCAGGATATAGCGGCAAAATCCGTAAAATCTGAGCACCAGAAAAAATATTTCGACGAACTAATACAGTGTCTGAACAATATCACAACGACCTTACTGTACAGATACGCATATGCAAGAAATCAAGACCTTACGGGACAAAGACATAGACAGAAATTGCAGGGGACGTTTTCTGAACAGTGAGGAAGGAAACGTTTTTCTTTTTCATCTGTGTAAATTGCTGGAAACTTGAGATTTCATATAACATAAATCTGTCATTAGTTCTATGGCAATTAACATTGGAGTCACTTCAATTTCTGGGAGTTTTGGTAGTTTCAAAAACTCAAAAGTCAGGTTGAGAAAGCAAGAAAAAAAATGCAAAACGTGGGCTCTCCGAAGGGGCCAATTTTTGCTTTGTTTGATCCGACATTCGTGTACGCAGGTCGCGCCCGCACACAAGTTCAAGGTCTGAAGGCTATTTCGATCCGAAATTTGCACCCTCCTGCGTGCGCATGTGGAGAGGGCCTCTATGCTACACATGATTACACTCTTTCAATGTACAGCCATATTTAAAGTGGTTCTTGCTCTCTTCTTTTTCCTATGTGGGACAAAACGATTTTCCCACATAAAACCATCTTTCAATGGTCAATTTTGAGCTCCAATTTCTCATTCACCCGAGCTTCATTTTTTGCAAGTAAATATATGATTTTGATGCTCTCACGGAGGAGAACACGGATCAAATTTGATATTCCAAATTGGACCAACGGGTCTCACCGAAAATCTTGCCAAAAGTGAGCTATTACTCATCTTTCCAATAGCTTCCACCTCGACTGAACAGTAAGGTTTATTCTTTGCTTAAAGGAGTATGTGACAATACTTCCACCCAATATACTGCCTTTCTTATTGTTTGCATACCTCTAAGTTATTATTTTTGCAATTGCTACATAAGGATCCATTGAAAAGGCTAGGAAGTAGGCCTATGGGAGCAGATGAGATCGAATGTCATAAATGGTTTGGACAATAAACTAAAAAAGATAAAGAGGCCTGAGAATTACAGCCCAAGTTCAAGCCAGATGTGAGTGGCGAAGATTGCACGACCAATTTCAACAAATATTGGACTACAATGCCTCCCGATGACTTACTGGCTGCTACACCAACTGCAAGCATTTTCAAGGGTATATGATAAGTGTATTTTATACACTTATTCAAGGCTTTAAAATGATGATATTTAGTTGCTTCTCGGATGAATTATGATCTAAATTATTGCATTTGGTGTTGAATAGGTAAAATTCAATGAAGGTACAAGAAATTGAAGGAAATAAGCAAAAGTTGTCAAAATTAGAGAAAATAGCTAAGTTGTAAGAGATCTAAAGTTCGGGAACTAAAGTGCAAATACTCAAAAAGTTGTGTCGGACCTCACGATGAAGATTTAAGAGTGCTTAGAGCCAATTGAATAAAGAAATATATCAAATGGAAGAAATATAATCAAAATATGATCACACATCAAATTCCAACCAAAAAATGCATGTACCATTTTCAGACTCATATTGAGACCCATTTTTGACATAAAAAATGATCGAATTTGAAAATGGTATTTGAAGAAAAGTTGTAACCCTTTGAGTTAGCTTTCCAACACATCTTGAATCACCTCAATCAGACATCGAAAAAAGAGGTTATGGTAAAAAAAACTGAATGTTGTGCTGTGTAATCGAAGTTGACGACAGCGCCCAGGCACTATCACGTAGCGCCCAAGCGCTATGTTTCTGAATTTTTTTCCTGAAAGTCAGCGCTTAGGCGCCCAATCGCAACGTCTAGGCTGCCCTGTGGCCGTCAAGTAGGATTTTTAAGTGAAATTTATCTTTTTAAAAAATCCAACTCAACTAAAACTCTTCCATGACTTGAAGAAGACGTAAATACAACCCTAGAGAAGAGAATTAGAAATGAGGGATTCCACACGTTGAGAAAAACAAATACAACTTGAGATTGAGAGAGCAAGATCAAAAGGGAGAAAACACATAATCATCGAGATCAAAGAGCAAAAGCTAGGGATTGAAGACTTTGGAGATTGAAGAAGATTCTTAGTGCAAGATCCAATTCTTTCCATGATCAAAATTTCGAAACCCGGTTATGAACTCTATAACGTTTGTTTTCCTTCCATTATCATGCATAGCTAAATTTACTATAAGGACAGACAACGTAACCTTTTGAGACCCTTTATTTCTTTTATTCTAGATTCAAGTTCCTTTATGCATATGTGTTGATTTTAATTATGTCCTCAATGCTTTGAATTCTTAGGCCAATTTTTCAATGATTTTGTAAACAATAATTACGTGTAAATGCGGATTATTTGTTTAGACCACATATTAAAATCCGGTAAATTAATATAACGTGTAGAGATACATATATTAATTATTGCGGTCATATATGAATTCTTAGAATCAATCTTTCGTTTAACTAAATTTGATTCGTATAGAGATATGAAATTGAAGTAGTTAAATATGTTCCATGAGAACTCGAGATGGGTAAATTGAATACAATAGGAGAATTCGACCGAAACCTTAGATTTTACGAATCTTGATTTAAGACTTAAAGATGATCTAGGTAACATTGTTCCGTTCTAATATCCATTTATTATTTGAATTCTCAATTATTCTCTGTGTACATTTACGTATTTTTAGGCAGTTAGATTTAAAATCATAACCAATCGTTATTCTTGTTTCTTTTTATCAAACAAAAGTTAGAAATAATAAATTGAGTATTAAAGTATAATTCTTGTGGGAACGATAATCCGGACTCTTAGGTCCACTATTACTTGTTACGATCCGTATACTTGCGGATATAAAATCGACAATAGTATACTTATGTAGCACCTAATCCTAGGCTTTCTTCGGAATGAACAAAAAGTTCCAGATCAGTGCATGGAAAACCTGACAAGTTGTTGGCTTGACGTTGTCAATTTATTTTATCTTTCATCAAACAAGAAACCATTAGTGAAATTGTGCCTTAATTTGAATACATCTACTTCAAATTTGTGCAGTTCTATACATTATTATTTGCTGATACTGTAGTTCCTAAATTTGCCAATTTAATTTTGTCTGGGCAGCTGCTTGAAGTAGTCCAACATTTGATAGTGTTGCAGAAAGTAATTTTAGGACCAAACCACCCGCGTTCCATCACGGTCACTCCTTACGTTGTTATCAAGCAGCGACAAGTGGTACCACAAATGCACACGCACCAGTGTAAATGAAACAATATCTGCTTATCTTATATATCAAATCATGAATATTTTAAGATATCATCCATCCCACCCAAGTGAAGGTCCTACCTCAACTAATCATGACATTAATTGAGGACCTAATTCCATCCACATTCATAAAATAGTAAAAATAAATAAATAAATAAATAATATCCCACAGTGTATCACCTAGCCAACAATATGAGCTACATTCATGACGAAGAAACCCTATCAAATTGTTGGGTTAGAATATTCTGTGCATAAACCAATAGACAAATGAAAGGGTATGACAAAGTTTCCAACTTTATTCTCAACCACAAACAAGCAAGAATCTGAAATATTAGCTTAAAACAAGTGACACGGCAAAGCACAATATTTTTTCAGTTTGTACAAAAACGATGATCAAACTATAGCGAAATTAATTACCTATTCTGCTTCTCAATCAAACCATTCTGATTTCTTAATTGAATCTATATAGTTATGATGAACCATTTTTTCCTTCAATTTTATTTTGTCAAGTTCCTTCATCCCTCAAGCAACACTGATTATGCGATCTCCATTTCCAAAGCTTGTTATCGCCTGGAATGGTGAGTGCCTTGTTGATGACGGATCTTGATCCAATGACAATGATAGCCCCAGAGACAGTTGTGTTGACCCAAATGGCATATTCTGATTTAAGCTAAGATCTGCCATTGATGAGGAAGTATGCTTAGGAAGAACAGGAACTGGTTGAATGCGCATATCCAATGTATTATTCAAATGATTGTCTTGGCCATAAGTTATATTTTCCATTGAGTTCTCAGATTGCAGATGTAAGAAAACAGGAGCAACGGGCACGCCTGGGAATCCACCGATATTGGAAGTTTTGGCAGGAGGCAGAGAGGTTGGTGGCCAAATTGCCTGAGCTGCACTTTCTTGATGGCTTGTGACCTCTTTGTTAGGAATTGCAGTAACCTAGCCATGAAAATATAAATATTTATGAACCATCTATAAACTATCAAATTCAGTACAATAACAAACTAAGCCCCTGGGTGCTTTTATCTATGAATTTTTGCTGGATGTTTTAGAAGCAAACCTCAATACTTAAAACTTGTTTTTTAAACCTAAAATGAAGACACTGCTATCTCATAAAGTAGAAAAGTAATGCTTCCATAAACTTTCAGTAACAACGCTGATAGAATGCTTAAAATATGCTTCATCAACAATGGCTATCAAAATAGAACAGCTTGAAATGATGAATCAAACTAAAATAAGATCAAATTATTTGTCTACCGCATACAAAGACTAAAAGACAAAAGTGATTAGATCTAATCAATAAAATTACCGAGTCAGTTGTGATGTCAAAGAGACTAGAACGACGGCGACGCCGATTTAGATTGTTCCTGCGAATAAAGTATTTCTGTGCATGGCTAGCAACTTGGGTTGGCGTACGTGTCTTAACATAATTTCTAGAGATTCCTCTCCAGTCTCCTTTTCCTACCTTCTGCAATCCAACGAGAAATAGCCTGTGCTCTTCCTCTGTCCATGGAACTCCTAAAAGAAAAGCACAAACCAATACGACATTGATCAAAATCAATTCAGTAAAATTGATATCAGTTTTGACTTTTAATATGTTTAACCAAGATTTATCCCAAGTAGCAAATATGTAATAGCAAAAAAAATTGAAATCAGATTTAAACTTTCTGTATGATATATTGAAATCAAGAAATCAACAACACTGATAACAGATCAATCGTTCAGAGATTGGAATTTTTCACATAAGCAATCAAATCATCTGATAAGACATCTATTTACCACGAAAATCAACACAGAAATTATTCTATTCAAGCAGACAAAATTACTCCAAAACCAATTCATAAAATTTATATTTCTAAGAGCATCAATTATCATCCGACTGAAAACTAACATATAAATCAAGTATTCCATGATGAATAAAATTCAGAACGCGAATCATACAAGCAATCGAGTAAATTACTCAACGAATGATAATTGAACAGACAGAACATATGATCAGAGATCTGACCTCGTTTACGCTCCCGACTCCCGTTGCCTGGCTGCGGTACTGCGTCGTCGGCCGATGCATAACCATTCGCCGTCTTCAACGACTCATTATCATTGTTATTAGCATTAGTTTTGTCGTCGTTGTAATTAACAGGCTCGTATTCAGCAAGATTATTCATACTCACGCTCTTCCTCATGGGGTCAACTTTTACTCTTACGCCAAACAACATAATCTCGCCAGAACCACCTCCTACAAAACCGTTTCCGCCATCACTAACGGTAGCGGACGGCGGCTCGCCACTCGGGCTTGACATTTTTCTAGTTAGTTTTGGGGGTTCCTCGAGGGGGATTAATATAGACGAAATTGTAGGTGAATCAAGACATCCATACGCTATTAAAACTCGAGGGCCGTACAATGTGCAGCTGTGCTGGAATATTTAAACAATATGGACGTTTGGAAGACCGAAGATGGAATAAGAAATTTAAATTTAAATTTAAATTAATTTGCAGTTTTTTATTCATTAATTGCATTAATTTTTATCAAAATCTACTAAAAATCTGATTTTATTCTCCAAAAGATTAAAATCAAAATTTAAATTTAAATTAATTCTCAAATTTTTAATAATAAATTTAGGCCCCGTTTGGTACGGATTTTTTGCCCCAAAAAATTGATTTTTAAACCGTTATTTTACTATTCAAGCCGTAATTTTTGACTTCTTCTCTCACATGTGGACCCCACTTTTCTTCTAACGGTCAAAAAATCAATTCTCAAAATCTCTACCAAACGGGCCCTTAATCAACTTTTATCAAAATTTACAAAAAAAAAAATTAAAAAATCTGATTTTATTCTCCATGAAAAGGAGCTTAATGTCAAGGGCTTGTTTCGTATCCAGTATTAGACAATAGTAGCGAACAAGAAAACCATTAAGTTAATCCGAATCAAAATTGCAATTTTCTATTGAGAAAGAAATTAACTAGGATGGAAAATTGAATTTCACGTCAATGGCACATTCGATATTCAATAATAATGGTCAATAAAGAACCGTCGGTTTGCTAAAAGAAACAGAACTAAATAAATTCTAAATCAAACCAAATCGTTTTTCACTAGTTTAAAAATTATGTTGTTTTTTATTTTGCTAAGACCGTGACATAAAGCAGTGTTTGGTTTGATTTAAAATTTATTTTAACTATTCAAAATTGTTTGATTAATTCAAAAATCGTCCAAATTGAATAGTGCTCGTCCCTAACAACAAGACACTACCGATAAGTATTTAATTCTCAGGGCCAAACACGACATAGATAAAACTCATAAAAGAAGATGAAATATTATCCTAAAACTCATAATTTTAATATTCAATTTGTGAAGATAGAAAGTCAAACAGGGGAGGATTTCGCCTCTCCAAGTTCTCTCCACTACAATAATATTGCATTTACCAAACATGGTCGCGATTGGACATGATCATAGATGGATGGTGCGTAGAGATGTAAATACATAGAAAATGTTTCTAACTTACAGTTTTTGTTTTAAGAAATATTCCTGTATTAATTTATTCTACATCATTTTTTTGTCTTTTCCTCTATTATCTTAAACATTATCATAAAAATAAAAATAAAAATAAAAATAAAAATAAAAATAAAAATAAAAAATGTTCTTACTATGTAAACCATTATTCTAAAATAGTACTAAACTGATTATTGGACTGAAAATTCATCAAATTGATTTGTCAATTGGTCCAAGTAAGAATTAGATGAATCGGTCAATTGAATTGCGATTAACAATGACCGACTTTAAAATAGTGCCTCTATAAAGTAATATTTTACTTGAGTAAATGGTAGAGGCAATATGAAAACTATGTGTGAATCAAGTTTTCTCCCCTACCAAACGAGTCCAAAGCGTGGGATGTGGGGAGAAAAAAGTTTCAAAGACTCGTAGGAAAAGAAGAATCGATGTGATTGTGATGTTTAAGGTTTAAAGGGAGGTTGAATGGACACATGGCGATTAAATAGTAGTTTATACAGGTCTTCTTGACAAGTGTTGTTTGTTTTTAATGAAAATCTCTAACATTTGGATGACACTTGGACCAATTATAAATTACCTAGCTTTTTATTTATTATTTTATGCTACTCAAAACAAAAATTGATAGGGGGAGAAAAAAGTTGTGGAGACTGGTTGGGAAAGAAGAACCGATGTGATTGTGAAGTTTAAGGTTTAAGGGGGGATTGGATGGGCACATGACTATTAAATAGTGGTTTATCCGAATCTTCTCGGTAAGGGTTTATTTGTTTTCAATGAAAATCTCTAACATTTTGGATGACATTTGAACCAATTATAAATTACCCAACTTTTATTTATAATTTTATACCACTCAAAACAAAAATGCCTTTGCGAAAGATATATTTGAATTAAGGAATATTTATACCACAAATATAAGTAATATATCATCTAAATAATGGACCTCTTCAACTTTTGTTACTTTCACGTATTCTTGAATTTAAAGGCAATGTTCAAAATATCATCGTTGTAATAGGTAATTTTTTATGAGGTAGTGGGAGTTCAAAATAAATGACATTGTTGTAATTTCGAAGCAAGTGACAATAGCCAATAATATTATTAACAATTTTTTGTTAATACTTCAATCTATAAATATGTAAAAATGAGTGTTGAATATTGAATAATACTTATATTAAAATATGTGATTAAAAATGAATATTTATATATTTTTCAATTAATAATTACACAAATGCCTTATATATCTATGTTTCTTAGCCTATGTTTGGGCTACATTTTATTCAAAGAGTAATATTATTTAGTTTTATTAACGTTATAACCTCAGTCTATATGATGCTAATGTCGCATTAAAAGATAAGTTAAACTTTAGCGCTATATAAACTGGAATTAAAACCGCACTGGGGCTACATAGCATTATCACATGTATATTAAAAAATTTTCCTTCTTTTTTAATTATAAATTCTCCAAAAAAATCATTATTTCAAAATCATTTTCTCAAGAATTTGATTTTAATGGAGCCAAACAATAATTACATCATCCTACATATTTTAAGCTAATAAAAAACAGCAATAATCAAATTATTTTTTTGTGAAAGTAATAATAAATTTAATTATTACAAGTGGATTGAAGAAAGCATCTCCTGAAAATGAGATCATTAAATTATTTATAATAAGCTGACAATCTTGTCTTAGAAAAGTTATGAAGATATAATTGAATAACTAATCTTCAAGATTTTTTATAAAAAAAAGTTCTAAATAGAACATGATTGTGAATGGTCCATTTTACGTTGCTTTCTATAATCAGAAGCAAATTAGTCTTTCTTCTTAATTTTCTACGAGTCATTTACAAAGTAACATGTACTTTTTGCTGTCAACCAATATATCGTATTTGAAAATAGCCTCAAGAATATAAAAAGTAAGCGTTGCGTATAAAAGACGTCAAGTCCGTGACGATTTCACACGCAAATATTATCGTAATTGGATATGTAAAAGTGATTCTAAGAAAGGTAATCCTAGAGAAATTATGTTCACATAAATTTTTGTTAAGATTCATAGAATTATGTGTGTATGGACAAGCATTAAATTCAAAGAATAGTTTTTATATAGACAAACATTAGTGATGAAAGTTGGTAAAGTAAGGGCATAAGAAGAAACCTAAATATGCCATTAGAATAATTTATAGAATTTGTCTAGTGGTACATAATGGGGTATACCGAATGGTATATACTTCACTCACATGGGTGTGGGATCCATGTGAAAGAAAGAATATTTTATTCGAGTGGATCCCTCGTCCGTGTGAGTGGGATGTACACCATTAGGTACACCCCGATGTGCCACAAGCAAAATCGTAATTTATATAGTATAAATAATTTTTACTTTCCTTTACCCTTTGAGCTTGAAGCCTTTCTTTGTGGAATTTGCCTTTTTAAGTTATAAAAAAAGTTGAGTTTCAAAATAAATATTTTTGGGGGAGAATTATGAGTAAGTTTAAAAAATGATGATTAATTCGAGCTATTTTATATAAAAGGTTAAGCAAAAAGTTTGTTTATTTATAATAAAATAATTTCTTTGACCAACAAAAATCTCGAAACAAAATAGGGAATAATAATTTTTTGAAGTCCATGGAAGGTGTTGTAGAGAGTGAAAATATGCGTTAACAAATGAAAGTGATGCGGATTGAAAATAAATTTGAAATATGGTAATTGGCGATAAAGTTTAATGTCAAAAATAATTATGGAAAAAAAATAACAAGTAATATTAATATTCCCACTTGCTTCCATTAATTTTCAGATTCAGAAATAAGATAACATCCGTACATATTAATTCATTTTTCTACAGAAGGGATAACCCAAAGATAATGTATTTTCTGTATCCTGTCTACCCCCACCACATTTATTTGTCGGTTAAAGTTAAAAATATGAATTAATTGCTTATATTATATCTTTTTATTTATAATTATAAAAAGGTTACATATTTTAAAATTTTCTAAAGTAAAATTTAAAGAAAATTTAGCTGAGCTTTGAATAATTTACTTTTTTATTTTTAAACAAAGTTATTTAATTTGAAAATAATTCATTATACTGTCAAAATTAATAACTTTTTAAATTATAATCAATGAGAAATTATTTAGTTTATAAGTTATATCAAATTTATCACAATAGACACGCAGAAGTAATGCGAATTGATTAGGGTTATTCTTGAGTGATAACCCATGTACGTCCAGGGTAGTCCGAGGGGCTTTGGCCAATTGATTAATGCAATTTTTAATCAAATCATAAGTAAAAATTAAAAATTAAAAAGATTTTTGTTTTCTTATTGAGGATGTGTTGCGAATTAGGTCATCAAATTGTTCATAAAATACAATAAATAATTCACAAGTAGAATTTATTATATATACCCGTTTATTTTATATTTACCTTTTAATTATTAAAAAATCGAATGCATTGGTAGAAATTTGAGCCAACCAACCGGTTCTCGTAGGTTGCCAAGTTAAAAAATTCAGCACGACTTGCCACCAATACAGATATCGACTTGAGTTGTCAAGAGCGTGTGGCCGAGTTGACAAAGGGCATGGCCTGGGAAACTGGGTTTGGCTTCGACGAGGGTTCAACCCACGCTTGAGACATCAGTCTTCTCCTTGGAGAAGATTTAATCGGTTGGTGTGGTTGCGGGTCTCGTGCCAGCCCCCAGGTTTACCTAGTGCGCACTGGTCGCCAGTAGCGACTGCGGGTTCCTGGGTTATCAAAAAAAAAAAAAAAAATGATATCGACTTGAGTTATGACAGGACAAGCCAATATTTGTTCAAACTTTATTCGAGCAAATTTTGAAGCTTTACCACTCAACATTTTTTACACCGCTATGCATATTTGACACGTTGAACTTAGAGAAATAA